ATCGTGCTGAACGCCAGATTTCTGTCTATCAGCTGCTGCAGAAAGGACAGCACGCTACCTAGTGGACATGAAGTAGCCTCCACCTTTCTCCGTACAGCAGTGCTGAAAAGCTGTCCACTTTGATGTGTACAGCACTGTGGTAGATGCAGCACATGAATCCTGGATCGTATGCACTACATCTTGAGAGAGACCCATCCTCTTTATGCAGATCCACTCAGCGGCCAGACCCAAAGGTGCTGGCCTATTTCTGGGTAACTCCTGATCGCTCCTCCCGCCTGGAGGAGAGCATCCTCCATCCATGGCAGTTTCCACGGGTGCCCCGATAACCGGTGTCGTAGAACTGGGAACCATGGGGCGTTCATGCTCGGGAGCCACCAGGAGAGCTGTCAGTCTCTCCTCCTGAACTCGGTTCAGAAACCGTGATATCAGAGGGAGTGGGGGGAATGCGTAAAGAAGCATTTTGGGCCACAGGTTGTGAGCAAACGCATCCACCCCTAGCGGTGGTTTGTCCCGCGGGCTCAGTGAGAACCATAGTTGACTTTGAGCGTTCTCTCGTGTTGCAAACAGGTCCACAGCCGCTTTGCTAAATTTCTGCCACGTCTGAGCCATCAGCTGGATGGAGGGTCCAGTCCCCATGACGCGAACCGTCCCTGGACATCACATCTGCCCCCTGTTTAGAACACTGGTGATGGAGAGCAGATTTTGGTGTGCCCAGCACAGCAGCTGTCTCACAATGTGTAACATTTGGGCTGAGCGCGCACCCCCCTTAGCAATCACTTGCTATCTGTGTGAGTCAACACATGATGATTCCGCACCACAGAGGCAAAGTGTTGAATCACATTCAAAACCCCTGACACTCCAAAAACATTTATATGAGTTGCTGTGTGGGGTGGCCACAGCGCCCCCACTGCTCGAGAAATGCATGTGCCTCTGTGAAGTCTGACACGTGTGATGTAAGTCTGCTGACGGAATCAGCTGTTATCACTCTGCCGGTTTCACGTGAGTTGCACTGCTGCCACCTGTCTGGAAAAACGGGTCAGCATCAACAGATGTCCAGATAAAGCAGAATTCTCCTCCCTGCTCTGTGTGGCGGCTGAAATTGTTGTCTCACGGTTCAAAATTAACAAATCTAATATGAATCTCATCCTTCCGGTCCGTTTGGGACCAGGAAGCGACGAGAGTGGAACCCTGTGTTTTCCTCTCCTTCTGGGACCCTGGAAACTACATTTTAATCAGAATTTCCTGAGCTTCTGCGAGGGGGAACGAGACCTGTTCTAGAGATGACTGAAAACGTCTCTAGAGTTCCTCCGAACGGGGGTTTGAGCTGTACTGCAGCGTGAATCCCCTGCTGATAAACGGTTCATCCATCTATCTGGAGCGCACGCTCGCTGACACTCCGCGTAACGTTCGGGAAGCGGGCACGCGTTTATGCTGCGTCACGTTATTTACGGACGCCAATCACCGCCGTCATGTGTGTCTCACTCAGACTGCGGGCTCACATCCGTGCTGATGTGAGCTGGCGTGCGCTGAGCATGCGGAACCGGTTTAGGACTGTCGCGGGTGCGCGGCGTTCCTATGCCGCGCACAGGCTGCTGGCTCACATCTGTGTTGATGTGAGCTGGCGTGCGCTAAGGGAAGGTGCGCGCGCTCCAAGCAGGCGGAACCGGTTTAGGACTGCCACGGGTGTGCGGTGTTCCTATGCTGCGTACAGGCTGCGGGCTCACACCAATGCTGATGTGAGCTGGCGTGCGCTGAGGGAAGGTGGGAAGGTCGGGAACCCTGGAAATTACCTCTTTTACCAGAAGTTCCTGGACTTCTGCATTTAGGGATGAGACCTGGTCTAGTGATGACAGAACCGTCTCTAAAACTCCTCCGAACGGAGGGGGTTGAGCTGCAAATTGTAGCATATAACTCCTGCTGATCAGCCATCTGTCTAGAGAGCATGTCCGCTGCCACTCCGCGTAACGTTCGTGGAGTGGGCACGTGTTTATGTGGTGCGTCATGTTTCTTACGGACGTCAGCCAGTTACAGCCTCGACCGCCGTCATGTGTCGCGGAAGTGTGCTCCGCTTGACCCAAGGCGAGGCTTTCTCGAAAGGGCTCTGAGCGCGCTTCTGTGCCTCACTCAGGCTGCGGGTTCACATTCATGTCGATGTGAACCGGCGTGTGTTGAGGAGAGGTGTGCGCGCCTTCATTAACGCGGCACTGTTTGGGTGAAAGCTGCCAGCGCCGTGGGAGCGCGCGTTTGACACCGCTGCGGTGAGAAGCGTGCAGCTCCTGCTGAGAGCGAGGTTTCCCACTGGACTCGTTCTGCGGTCTCACATTCATGCTGATGCGAGCCGGTGTGTGCTGGAGAGAGGTGTGTGCGCCTTCATCAATGCAGCGCCGTTTGGGTGAAGGCTGCCAGCGTCACGGGAGCGCGCGTTTGACTCCGCTGCGGTAAAAAGCGTGCAGCTCGGGCTGAGAGCGAGTTATCCCACTGGACTCGTTCAGCGGACCACATTCACTTTCGACTGCTGTGTCATGCGAGCGTCTCATGTTTATCTTTGAGCTGCGGTGATTTTGAAAAACCTGTTTTAGGACACCTGCTCATTTGTGTGGAGGATGTGTGAGGGGAAGCCGCTGTGAGATCATTCGAACTGACAGACAGGCTGAATCAGACACTTTAATCTTTGAATGATGTTTGTGTTTTATTTCAAAACTCCTGTCATCATTGCACAATCACCTCCCCGCAAGGAGTCATTCCTGAATCTTCTCCCCCGTGAGCCCTGCAGTTGTTGTCCCAGGACGCCGCCTGTTGGCGATCTCTGGGAAACGCTGAACCGCTGGTTGCCGGCTGTTCTCTGACGGGCGGGGCTGGCGTCGGAGTGGAGCGGGAGGACGCTGCTGCAGCTGTGGAACGTCTCTGTTTGCTGCCTTTAGCCACGACGAGCCTTCCAGCGGGCCGGGGGCTGGATGAGGCATGCGGCTTGGTCAGATGGCGCACAGTCTCCAACACCTCCGGCTTTTTCTATTTCTCAAGCATGTCCTTGAAACTGGCTCCGAACAGCACGTCCGCTTCTCCGACAGGGAGGGGGGACAGCAGACGAGGCACACGGGTTGAGGGTGACGTCAGACGCCCTGCAGAGGGAGCTCTTGTCTCCTCAGGCAGGTCTGTCCCTCCGGCCTCTGAGAAGTTGTACGTCAGCGGCGCAACGTATTGGTCGCTGCAGCCCCCTGGAACGCATACTGGTGAGCTCGGTTGGAGAGCGACGTCACCGTCTGGTCATGCCTCCCTGGAGACGCAGGACCAACCTGGACATCTTTGCTCCGAGAGCCTCCTCCACGCATTCGCTCAGCCCCCCCTCTTTCCGACACTACGCTCTCCAAGAGGGAGTGAGCAGCGGGGGCTGCTGCTGACGTCGCCTGTCCCGGAGGAACCATTCGATTCGCTCCGAGAGTCGGCAATGAAAGGAAAAATAAAAGATGGCGTCGTCCAGCATGTAGTGATTCGCCACTGAGAAATATTCCTCGGCACTTACCTTGAAACAAGACTGCTCGTCTACTTCTCCTCGGGGAGGAGAACTCACCGGGATGGCTGGAGGTTGGCGTGGCGGGACCACAGGCAGCCTTAACAAAGGTTGTGCTGGTCAGGCTGGACAACTTCCCTTCTTCGTTCTTCTGACAGTGCTATTAGCTTGCTGAAGAAAAATGGGAGCCGATTACCCGTTCTTAACGTAATTTATATGGACCGGGTGGGGCCCACACAACAGGTGACCTTGGACTAAATTTTTTTCAGTGCGATGCTTTGCATGACGGGATATAACCCACTAAGCGACAGCTCTTGAAGGGCGAAGCCTATACGAAATAGAACTTGACCTTTTTTCGCATCATCCGTTTTTTTTTTTTTACAGTTTTGGTTTCAGAGGACATTTTGAAAAAAGTAAGAGAACTTTGCTTTAGCCTTTAGTTAACATGGCAGCAGCACAGTGAGTTGACTTTACTGCAAAATGTTTTCTTTCACACCCAAACAGCTAAAAAGTCGTGCTTGAAATGCCCTGAGTGTTCAGAAATTCTGTTTGTGCTTTATAAAGTCATTTATATTCTGAACTCTTAAATCCTACCAACAGGAAGTTGATTAACTTTAGGAACCTTTCCCACAGGAAGTTGATAAACTTTAGAAACCTTACCCACAGGAAGTTGATTAACTTTATAAACCTTACCCGCATGAAGTTGATTAACTTTAGAAACCTTACCCACAGGAAGTTGATTAACTTTAGAAACCTTACCCACAGGAAGTTGATTAACTTTAGAAACCTTACCCACAGGAAGTTGATTAACTTTAGAAACCTTACCCACAGAAAATTGATTAACTTTAGAAACCTTAACCACTGGAAGTTGATTAACTTTAGAAACCTTATCCACAGGAAGTTGATTAACTTCAGAAACCTTACCCACAGAAAATTTATTAACTTTAGAAACCTTACCCGCATGAAGTTGATAAACTTTAGAGACCTTACCAGCATGAAGTTGAACAACTTTAGAAACCTTACCCACAGGAAGTTAATTAACTTTAGAGACCTTACCCACAGGAAGTTGATTAACTTTAGAAGCCTTAACCACACGAAGTTGATTAATTTTAGAGACCTTATCAACAGGAAATTGATTAACTTTAGAAACCTTACCCGCATGAAGTTGATTAACTTTAG